ATTATTATTTTAGCATAATTATAGAACACAAGAAGCAATGTGTAAAATCACACGAAGAACAAATGAAAAAAGCATTTGCACACCAAAGGTGCACCTAGCAATTGATATGTACATGTATTACATGTATTTTATATATACATGTATTTTATATGTACATGTAATTACATGTATTTTATATATACATGTATTACATGTAGAAGTGAAGGCCGCGTCTGTGGCATATGTATGGAAGTTGTTCTCGCCAAACCGGTTCGCAGCGATAGAAGATTCGGAATACTTTGTGAGTGGGTGTGGCTTGAATTTTTAACCCTTTGACATTTGCTATAGCTAATTGTGATCATTGCTTTTGCTTGGCGTGCATCAGAAAATGGCGTAGCTCTGCTCATTCAACTAAAAGAATTATAAGGTCGGGGGTTTTTGCAATAACTATTAATTTACTTATCTTTCTCCTTTCTTTCCTCTCTCTCTTTCTCTAGGGCTTGTCCTCTTTGTAGAGCTATTTCTTATATTGTAATCCCGGTTAGTTCCTCTTGCAGATACATGTACATTGTATATGTACACCCTCCATATTTTGATTTACATGTATTGATAGAGTGAGGTCTGGCTATCGGAAAAGTCAGAAAAAGACGAACTACTGGAGTCTTACAAAGGAAACCTGAGGTCAGAAACAACAATGAAAATAAAAACAAGAATTAATAATAATAATGTTATAATAATAATAATAATGTTGTTGTTTCTTTAGTGCTAAGCCTTGTAAATATTTTGATGAGGGGAGAGGTACTTGTCCGTTTAGTGACAGCTGCTTGTATAGACATGGTATGGTACATACAATTATCTCTTAGATTATCATTTCATTTCTTTTACTCCTCTCTCTCTCTCTCTCTCAGCTTTTCCAGATGGAACTTTATCAAAGGCTACTCCAAGACTAACTTACAATAGTGATGGACTCACTAAACCAGTTGGAACAACAACGTAACTAATAATAATAATAATAATAATAATAATAATAATAATAATAATATTACCTATTCACACTACACGTACATCTACATGTACATCATATATTTTAAAACAAAAGCCTAGCCTATTTTTAATTTTACACATGCCCTATACTTTATATAGATCGTGAATACTTATAATAAACCCAAATTTAATTCCCCCTCCAAAATTACCAGCTATATATGTGTGTGTGTGTGTGTGTGTGTGTGTGTGTGGTATATGATTAATAGACTTCTTATTATTCATGTTACTATTACCCTCAACACAACAGCAAGAGAACATGTACATGTAAATATTTCCTTAATACTTGTACATTCTAATTGAAGCAGGCTTTATTTTTATACTGTATATTGTATTTACTGTATATACTGTATTTATGTATATTGTATTTATACTGTATATTCTTTATTTTCTCCTTTCTCCTCTTCCTTTAGTCTCTGGGACTTTTTAGAAGAGAGAGAGGAGAGGGTATGGACTGCACCAGAACCAAGTGAAGGATACTGGGATGATGATGATAACCATGAAGAAGGATCACTGTGTGGTGGAGGAGCTACAAACTAGCTAGGACTATTAATGCTATCTCCATTTTATACTTCTCTCCTTCATTCTCCAGCAACCCCAGTTCTCTTTCTTGTCCCGTTTTATTCTAAACTAAACTTTTACCTCCCTTATCCAATTTAGCACTAATTTTTTTGTATCAAATAATCAATTATTATTATTATTATTAATCTTCATTATTATTATTATTAACCTATCCTTCAGAGTCAAATGTTTATTGTAATTATGCTTACATTGACATCGTGTTAAGCTGAACATTTATAAATCAAGAACACCCTATAGTTAGCTATAGTTGATTATATTTTTTGTTTGTGGCCTTAAATTTTCACAGCTGTGGCTACTTTAATAACATTGATCTTGTGATCAAGAATACCATAGTAGCCACAAAAGTATTTTGCCTAGTATATTTTTAACTCAAGTTTAAAATGTCATGAAAACAACATACACACGATCTTTTAAGTCTCGTGATTCTCAATATTAAGAAATCATTAATAATAATTATTATTACTAGGTAATAATAATAAACAAAATGGTACAAATGTCATTATTATTAACAATAATGATGATGATTATCATTAGGTGCCATGTCTCCCAAAAAATAAACAAAAATATTAAACAAGTATTATCGAACAATAATAATAATAATAATCCTATTGTTGTACATGTACCTCCTTCTCTTTACGAAGCTCTCATTCCAGGTAACCAATAGCAACCATCATACCCACGCCCACACACATTGCAAGTAACTCCTTCAATGACTGCCACAGAGATGAGCTGTTTTCAAGCAATTCAGGAATAACAGAGACAGTGGCGATGTATATAAATCCACCAGCCGTAAATGGAAGAATCCAAGAGCTAGACATGGAAGAAGAAGCTCCACCTTCAGCAAGGAGACCAAAGAATGTTCCGGTAAGAGCACCCACTGCTGTCACCAGCTGTAACATCATTGCCTTTCGTTTGGTGTGACCGGATTGGACGAGGATCGCAAAATCTCCGATTTCGTGTGGGACCTCGTGAAGGAGGATTGTAAGGGTTGTGACCACACCCACACCACGCCCTGCTAGGTAGGAGGCACCAATTGCAAGTCCATCAGTGAAGTTGTGAGTGAAATCAGCAGCGAGGTTAAGATAACCGGAGACTTTGATTTCGGGAGAATGTTGAGAGACTATGAGAGAGAGAGAGAGAGGAAGTGAGAGGGAGAGAGAGAGGGGGAGGGAGAGAAGGAGTAGTAATTACTTGTTTATGAAAAGCATGAAAGGACAACTATTGTGTGTGTTTGAACTGATTTAAAATAGCCATAACATCTGCTACGGTGCTACCACAACAATGCTCCATTATGCACTTCATATACATACAGTACATGTACAGACACTATATCAGCACTATTGTGTGTTTACAAACAATCTCTACTACTATACTACATGTAGATCCCCAAGTTGAATTTGGGACAAAAAAACTGGAATAATGGGTGATAAGGATTCGTCCTTACAATGTACATGTACATGCGTATGTACATGTAATTTGAATATTACAAATAAAAACTTGCTCTCTTTCAAGGCAAGACTGAATAAGACAATCGATCATAGATCAAATGGACCAACAGATCAATGGCTTGTGTTGGGAATACATGTAGTTACAGCTAAGGATAGGCTAATCATGACAACCACTAGCTGTTTTAAATTCCTTTATTTACCTTTTCTCTTCTTTTCCTCTTTCTCTTTCTTTGCCATTATCCCTCCTCCTCCTCTTTGTCTCAGTCCTTCCTTGTTCCCCTCGTCAGAAAGTGGACCATTTTTAGTCTCTATGACTTGACTCCGCCCGGCCCCTTCCCTATAACGTCTCTCCTCAACTTCGCTATTAAAATGGACGTGTTTGTGTCCGCCTCCTTTAATCGTCCTCACAAACTTCTCCACAATCAGGAAAGCAATGATACCAGCCAGTACCCACAAACCAACCATCATGTCCTGCGTATGGTCATGCCCCCCATGGTGATGGTCGCCATGATGATGATGGTCATGGTGGTGATGGTCTCCATGGTGATGATCTCCGTGGTGATGGTCGTCATGGTGATGTTCTTCATGGTGATGGTCTCCGTGGTGATGTGACCCGACGGCGTGAGGTATGAGGTGGAGAAAAGCGTCGCCTAGAAGACCTCCTGAGGCAAAACTAAGGAGGACTTTGAGGAAGTCAGAGTGTTCAGAGGCACTGTTGATAGGAATGAAGAAGAGTATGAAGAACGGGGCTGCACTGACCAGGAGGGTGGAGGAGAGGGCATAGGTCCAGAGCTCAGTTTGACTGGAAAATGGAGAAGAGAGGAAGGAGAGAGAGGGAGGGAGGGAGAGGGAGAAGGCAGTCCCTGCTAGAAATAGGAGAGGAACAGTGCTAGTTAGTTAGTTAGTCTCGCGTACTACGCGTAGTCTGGCTACGCGAGACTACTAGTTAGTGGGAAAAGAAGATTCTATAAAGTATATCTAATTAGAAGATTCTATCTAATTAGAAGATCTACGGAGATTATCCGGATAGCTCCGATAGGCGATGCACCGATGCTTGGGTGGGGCTGGTTTGCAGAAAGTAGGCCTAAGTAAATAGTTGGTCTGCCATCCATTTGCTGCCATCATTTTATAAAGACAATGAATGTAAGTCATGTCACATAATGTGAATGTGTTCTTTTCTTCTATGATACTTTACTACTGTGCTATTACAATCTTTCAGTTCGTAAGTCACACGTCAATGTCAATGTGTAATTTTATTCTTTTCTTCTATGACACCATTGTGATACTTTACTAAACTTTGTTTATTCACAATCTTTCAGAAAGTAAGTCATGTCACATGTGAATGTGTAATTTCTTCTTTTCTTCTATGATACCATTGTGATACTTTACTAAACTGTGTTATTCACTATCTTTCAGAGAGTAAGTCACGTCACATGTGAATGTGTAATTTTATTCTTTTCTTCTATGACACCATTGTGATACTTTACTAAACTTTGTTTATTCACAATCTTTCAGAAAGTAAGTCATGTCACATGTGAATGTGTAATTTTATTCTTTTCTTCTATGATACCATTGTGATACTTTACTAAACTGTGTTATTCACAATCTTTCAGAAAGTAAGTCATGTCACATGTGAATTTGTAATTTTATTCTTTTCTTCTATGATACCATTGTGATACTTTACTAAACTGTGTTATTCACAATCTTTCAGTTCGTAAGCCATGTCACATGTGAATGTGTAATTTTATTTTTTTCTTCTATGATACCATTGTGATACTTTACTAAACTGTGTTATTCACAATCTTTCAGCTCGTAAGCCATGTCACATGTGAATGTGTAATTTTATTCTTTCTTCTATGATACTGTTGTGATACTGTACTAAACTGTGTTATTCAAAATCTTTCAGGACGTAAGTCATGTCACATGTGAATGTGTAATTTTATTTATTATATACTTTTATGATACCATTGTGATACTTTACTAAACTGTGTTATTCACAATCTTTCAGCCCGTAAGTCATGTCACATGTGAATGTGTAATTTTATTCTTTTCTTCTATGATACCATTGTGATACTTTACTAAACTGTGTTATTCACAATGTTTCAGCCCGTAAGTCATGTCACATGTGAATGTGTAATTTTATTCTTTTCTTCTATGATACCATTGTGATACTTTACTAAACTGTGTTATTCACAATCTTTTAGCCAGTAAGTCACGTCACATGTGAATGTGTAATTTTATTCTTTTTTTCTATGATACCATTGTGATACTTTACTAAACTGTGTTTTTCACAATATTTTAGACAGTAAGTCACGGCACATGTGAATGTGTAATTTTATTATTTTCTTTTATGATACCGTTGTGATACTTTACTAAACTGTGTTATTCACAATCTTCCAGCTCGTAAGTCACATCACATGTGAATGTGTAATTTTATTATTTTCTTCTATGATACCATTGTGATACTTTACTAAACTGTGTTATTCACAATCTTTCAGCCAGTAAGTCACGTCACATGTGAATGTGTAATTTTATTATTTTCTTTTATGATACCATTGTGATACTTTACTAAACTGTGTTATTCACAATCTTTCAGTCAGTAAGTCACGTCACATGTGAATGTGTAATTTGAATTTTTTCTTTTATGATACCGTTGTGATACTTTACTAAACTGTGTTATTCGCAATCTTCCAGCTCGTAAGTCACATCACATGTGAATGTGTAATTTTATTCTTTTCTTCTATGATACCATTGTGATACTTTACTAAACTGTGTTATTCACTATCTTTCAGAGAGTAAGTCACGTCACATGTGAATGTGTAATTTTATTCTTTTCTTCTATGACACCATTGTGATACTTTAGTAAACTTTGTTTATTCACAATCTTTCAGAAAGTAAGTCATGTCACATGTGAATGTGTAATTTTATTCTTTTCTTCTATGATACCATTGTGATACTTTACTAAACTGTGTTATTCACAATCTTTCAGTCAGTAAGTCATGGCACATGTGAATGTGTAATTTGAATTTTTTCTTTTATGATACCGTTGTGGTACTTTACTAAACTGTGCTATTCACAATCTTCCAGCTCGTAAGTCACGTCACATGTGAATGTGTAATTTTATTCTTTTCTTCTATGATACCATTGTGATACTTTACTAAACTGTGTTATTCACAATCTTTCAGTCAGTAAGTCATGGCACATGTGAATGTGTAATTTGAATTTTTTCTTTTATGATACCGTTGTGGTACTTTACTAAACTGTGTTATTCACAATCTTCCAGCTCGTAAGTCACATCACATGTGAATGTGTAATTTTATTTATTATATACTTTTATGATACCATTGTGATACTTTACTAAACTGTGTTATTCACAATCTTTCAGCATGTAAGTGACATCACATGTGAATGTGTAATTTTATTCCTTTCTTCTATGATACCATTGTGATACTTTACTAAACTGTGTTATTCACAATCTTTTAGCTAGTAAGTCATATGTCACATGAAAATGTGTAATTTTATTCTTTTATGATACCATTGTGATACTTTACTAAACTGTGTTATTTACAATTTTTCAGTCAGTAAGTCACATACCATGTGGATATGTAATTTTATTCTTTTCCTCCATGATACCATGTTGATGCGTTCAGATAGTAAGTTATTTTTATCTAAGAAGTCCTGACATTATAATTTTGTAGGATACAAGTATGTACATGTATGCTGACTTCAGACAACCTTCCTACTAAGATACTATTATATTTATTAATTTATGCATGTACATGTATCAATAGGTGCCTATGAGAGAGCTCTCAAAGAACAAGGAAGTGCTGATGTAGCGTATGCTCGTCTTATGTTACTGGGATCAGCTGGTACTGGCAAGACGTCTCTTAAGCGTTCATTAATGGAAGAACCTTTCAATCCTCATACTACAAGCACCATTGTATCTGATGTATCCTCCGTACGACCATTTGGACACGAGTGGCAAACAATGAGAGAAAAAAAATGGAGAGAAACCACACAAAAAGATGAAATTGAAGAACTTGCACATTTGTTTGAATCCTGTCTTTCTAGCTCATCTTCACACCATCCATCTGTATTGAGTACAGAATATTCTCATGATGAATCAATTGCTACTAGTTCCATAGCTTCTGATTTGAATGTGGAGAGTCATATCCAATCAATACTCGAAAGAGTTGATGGCATTTATTGGACAACAGAATCACTTGTTCAAGTAAGTCAATTACTTTAATAGCATTTGTTATGACATAATAACTAGCCATTTCTTCATATATGGGATTGTGGTGGTCAGCCAGTGTTCCTTGAGATTCTCCCAGCCTTCCTCACTCCTCGTACAATGTTTCTCCTCCTGTTTGATGCTTCAGTGGATTTCAAGGAAAGATGGCAGTCACGTCAGAATACTCCTGATGGTAAAGTGCTGTTTGGTGAGGTAGTGAATGAAAGCACAAGTAATCTAATGGCCAAATGGATGTCTACAATACACAGTCACCTCATGAAGCACAGCAAAGATGATACTTCTCCTAGTCTTTATTGTATTGGCACTCATGGTGACAAGCTGAGGAGAAAAAGGAAGAAAGAAGTAAAGAAGCAGATACAGTCTTTGTATGAGAAAAGAGAATTCTCAGATCTTATCAAAGATGTTCTTATCATTGATAATACAACCTCAGGCAAAGGAGAAGAAGAAGACCCAAGCATTACAAAATTACGCAGAGCTATTGATAGTTTTATCTATAAATTAGTCGTCCAAACCCCTGTCAATTGGGTTCTTTTTCGTAAGGTTGTGCAAGTGCTTAAGCAGAATTTCATTAGTGTATCTGATGCCGTTGCCATTGGAGTGGCATGTCATATACCAGCAAATGATGTTCCTGAAGTATTGAAATTCTACCATGAGCTAGGAGCTGTGCTTTATTATCCTCAAATAGAAGGTCTGAGGAATAAAGTCATTCTCAGTCCAAAATGGTTTGTTGGTGTCATTGGGAAGGTATTCCCACTAGAGAAAAGTTTGAGTGGAACAAAAAGATGGTCTTTGTTACGAACTAAAGGCATTCTTGTTCAACCACTCTATCAAGAGGTATGGCAGTCAAGTGGTATTGATCCAGAAGAAATAATTGAACTTTTAGTTAATTTTCGTCTTGCAGCTCAAGTTCAAACTGAACATTATAATAGCAGATTCAAGCAGTATTTTCTTCCAGCAGTGCTACCAGGATACACAGGTGACCCTAATGACGTACGACCTGGTTATAAGCTAAGAGCCTCACCTGTACACATTACATTCTCCACTGGATATGTACCTCCTGGCTTCTTCACTCGTTTAGCAACTGCTGTTGCTACAAATGACAATGTTAAGCTCAATTTTGATAATGTTTATACAGCAGCACCTAATGCTGGTTTCTTTGATCGATTAGCTATTACCATGAAGTTACACTTAAAAGTTGAGAGAAAAAGTATCTATCGTAATCGTGTTTGCTTCTCTTATGGTCGTCCTTCTGATGATTTTGTTCTCACTGATATTAATGATGCTATTCAAGTTGATGTGTTGAGATATGTCTCGGAGAGTACTCATCCTGTTCCTTTGAAATTAGTTTGTCAAGAAATATTGAAGTTATTAGATGAATGTTGCCAAAAGGTAGAAGACACTCTTTACCATGGTCATCATGCTGATCATTCATCAAGGAGAATACAATACGTGTGTCAATGCAAACGTTCCAAGGAAGTCCATTACATTCAAGACATTGATGCTGAGGAGCAGACATGTTTTGATCCTGTTTACTGCAAAATGAAAAGAATTCCTCGATCATTAACTAAAAACGAGTCACTGTGGTTCAAGAAAGAAAGAGAAGATTTGTCAAAAGATAAACAAATCCAATGTCTCCAAGAGGTATACAAAATACATTTAACAACATTATTTTACCTCTATGATTTAGATTTCACCTTCGGAAGAGATTAATGTTGTTGATGATGATGATGATAGTAAGTTGCATGCACATGTACATGTAGATCTAGTTGCTGCTATTGTGGCACTATTACATAAAACTGTATGAAGGGCATATTTTTACTTTATTTACTGTACATGTAGAGCCAACACTTCAAAAGGTCAAATCAACTACAAATTACTCACCCACACAGATCAGTGAGTCCAATGATGATCAAAAAAAAGGTATAACCACTCACTGTTACTAGTTTCATATTATTTATTTATTTATTTATTTATAGCTATATTGACTATCAGGAATCTGATAGAAATATTACGAGTGTTAAAAGATGGTCACTTTCAAACTAAAAAATGGATTGATCTTGGTCTCTACTTGGGTCTGTTTCATAATGATTTGAAGACAATAGAGACTAACTATCCACGAGATGCTGAGCAATGTCTCAGAGAATGTTTAGCAAAATGGCTTACAGATGATATTGAAGCAACATGGGATAAACTAGCTATTGCTGCTGGTGAAGTAGGAGAGACATCAGTTGCTGAATATATAAGTGAGATTATAATTTATGTAATAATTATAATACAATTTTTAGAATCAAGAAAGGAGCTTATTTGAAACGATTGCATTAAGATTGGAATCAATCTATTTAATTTTTTTATATTGTGAAAACTTAGCTGGTTGATATTCTATAACAATTCTCAAATGTGTGTGTATTTTTAGTACTGTCATAATTCAAATTATTTTTAATTAATAATAATTATTATATCAAATGATTGAACACTAGCTATGTCTATGGTTGTTAAGTTATTATTACAATTATTCTTGTTTTAAGAGAAGTGATTGTATTCATCATGTGTTTGTAGTCTACGGATTTTGGATTTTTCCGCAGATAGCCTACTGATACGAAAGTATCCGGATCTAAAATCCTATAATGACTCAGCACGTCAGCTGAGCATAGCAGCGCCGAGAATCAATCAGCACGAGTCAGCAAACAATGGCATCATCTGGGTCTTGTAATGCGTCCTTTGGTAGTGCTGCTAGAGCCTTTTCTGGTTTGGATCAAGAAGATTTAATTAAATACATGGAATCTGTTTGGGAAGGCTGTTACAGTGACTTCCCAGACTTGATGGAAGAAAATTGCTGGAATGTAGAAGTAGTGTTCAAAGCTGAATTTGGTTCACATTATTCACTGCTATTTACCATTCCTCATTGTAATCAAGGGTTTTTGGTTCACCTCATAAAAAACGACACAAAAGAGGTAAAATTTGTAATTGAGATTGTTAATTTGAGAGATGAGAAGTGGCAAGGTTTTATCAAGAGACCATTGGGTGCAACAAGACCAATTACTGCCCGTGATATAATCACTAAAGCACATGATCGAATGGTTAAAATGGGAAGCTATCATGCAGTACTGAACAATTGTCAAGATTTTTGTCAAAAGTGTGCTAAAGATTTGGGGGTTGATACTGTGTTCACTGATTTTCAGCGGGCTGGTGTTGCCGCTGCTGGTACTGGTATAGCTGCTGCAGCAGTTGCTGCTGGAGTGGCTGCCGTAATTGGATTCATCATAAGAATTCGATAGATTGAACTCATGTCTTGAGACAAAATTCCTTCATTTGACATTTTTCAACTTAGATAGACTAAATACTTGTTTTGCTGCATTTTAAAATAAATGAATATTTTAGACATAACAGTTTCATGCAATAATGAGCCTACAATGTAGTTTCTATGCAGCCATTTATGATGCAGCCATCTATGATGCAGCCCAGCAACAGACATGACAGGTGGATAACTGTAAGATCATACGAGATAATTAATCTATAGATCTAATCTATTAAATGGGTGGGTCCATATATGCATAAACAGTGGGAGTGGCTGCTTAGCAATCATTGGAGATGAAAGAGCTTGCTTTCTTTTTACTTCTTTTTATTTCAACTGGCCCCGTTACTGCTGCATATCCTTGGCCAGACAATGTCACTCAATACAAAGGATACATTGATGTAAGACAAAGCAAATTGTAGACTGGTGCAGTGTCATAGATGTCTGTATTTCTCCTTTTAGCTGCAAAGCAAAGGAGGTGTAGGTGTTCACTTGTTCTATTGGTTCTTTGAGAGCAGGAGCGCCCCCTCCACTGACCCACTGGTAATATGGCTGACAGGTGGGCCTGGCTGCTCTAGTGAGCTTGGGCTATTCCTTGAAAATGGACCTTTCATTATTAATGGGACCAGCACACCAACCTACAATCCTTATGGTACGCACATCAGTACATCATTACAGTTTGTTTGCAAAGTCTATTAGATATAGCTGTATTTAAGTATTTTGCAGCTCAAATCATGCTCAATTGTATGTGTATTTATTATTATTAATTAGGTCATTTTAATCTTATTCATGATGTATGTCATAATAATGAATTGCAATGGTGGCATATGCAACTGCATGCTGGGATTGATAGAAAATTAGGTCCTATATTAATTTAATTGTATTTCTTAGGTTGGAATAGCTTTGCTAATATTATCTACATTGATCAACCTGGAGGGACTGGTTTCTCATACGTTGATAAACCAGTAAGTAAACTTGTTTTAACGAGCTATAATGAACATGAATGTTGCCTTCATACTGATAGAGTGAGTATGTACATGATGAGACGCAGCTAGCTATTGATCTGTGGAACATGATGCTAGCATTTTATGAGAAATATCCAAAATACTCTAAATTGGATCTTTATATTTTTGGAGAGAGCTATGGTAAGTAAAATAGCTTTGTCTATTTCTTTACTTTCTTCTTTTTCCTTCTATTTTATAGCTGGTCATTATGTGCCTGCTTTTGCTAGAGCAATTTTAGCAAGCAACTCGATCTATTCTGAAAACTTAAAGGGAATTGGTGAGTACTGCATTATTTGTATGGCACTAAATTTTATTGCATTTTCACACAGCAATTGGTAATGGATGGACTGATCCTCTTGTTCAATACACTCAATTTGCACCAGTAAGCTTCTAATAATAGAAACAAAATATTGTTATTATTATTATTATTATTGTATCAATACATTGTAATAGTTTGCTCTTCATGCTGGTATCATTGATCAAGCCACTGCAGATGCTGCTAATAAAATGTACCCTGCCTGCAGAGGTATGAAAAATAATAATTTATATTAGCTTGTTTATAATTTTGGTATTGATGATAGATTTGATTATAGCTAAAAAGTATGAGGAAGCCTATGACAAGTGTGAGAAAATGTCTGATTTTATACTAAATGAAGCACAGAAGAAGCTAGGAAGAAGCATCAATCCTTATGATATCAAACTAGACTGTCCTGTTCCTGGATGCTTTGACATTTCTAATGTAAGATGAATTCCTTCCCTCTTTTTCATGTACCATTTAATTTACATTCTCTCCTTCTATTATGTGTTGTTTTGTTGCCCTTCCTTTTTTCTGTATGATCAGTTAACTTCTTTTCTTAATCGTTCCGATGTACATGAAGATCTTGGTGTTGGTACACACCAATGGCAAATGTGTAGTGAACTGGTTGAAAAGAATGTAAGCAAAATAATATTAATGTTCATGAAATTGATTTTATTGTAATTATCACTGCTTTTCCTTAGCTCATTAATGATGAAGTTTTGAGCTTCAAGTCTGCCCTTTCAATGGTTTTACAAGAAAAGAAAAGAGGTAAATACATAAGCGTGCTGATTGATACAGTAACTGACTATTGTATGCTTTATGTAGTGTTGATATATAGTGGGAAATGGGACTACGTCTGCAATTACTTTGGAGGAAGAGCATGGACTAAACTAGTGGAATGGGAAGGACAGGTAAAAGAAGGATAAATATACATTTTTGATATTTTTTCATAATAGAACCAGTTCAATTCAGCAAGCTATAAAGCATGGATGGTAGATGGGGCAATTGTAAGTAATAACTAAATCTTATGTAGTTACATTCATGATTGTGTATGCATTGCTATGTAGGCTGGTGAAGTGAAGGCTTATAGTGATTTGACTTTGTTGGAGGTTAACAATGCTGGACATCAAGTACCAATGTTTGTACCTAAACAGGTCAGCCTATCTTTATATAGCATCCGCTGATATGACTTAACTGACTCTCTCTTCTATTTCTCTTTCTTGTTGCTTGTATTAAATAGGCCCTTGATATACTAGACAGGTTTATCAAGAACAAGCCTTTTGCTGCTTATTAACTTATTGAAGTGATAATAATAATTCATATTTGCCAATGTACATAAAATTAATGCTTAGCTATTTGCTCAACTGCTTTTATTAAAATTGTTATTTAAGTTGTAAAAATTCTCTGAGAGAAATAAGCAGCTTTTCTTTGCTGTACTCTGTCTCCCAGTGACATCATTAGATTCATAAACTCCAAGAGATCAAAGGAATAGTTTGTGAATTTAGCATGAGGCGTACCCATTTGAGGATGGAGACCCTGTATAGGAAATAAAGAGAATACTAAAGGTATATCATTATTACTTATTTCTGTATAAAGTACATGCAATATATATTATCTTAATTATGAAATTATTCCTTAGGATTTTCTCATTATGACATATAAAGATAAAAAAAAGTAGAAGTTTGAGTTGATTCTTAGCAGATCACATTTTTGACACTCTCAATTTTTACTGCACATATTTTGACAGACACCTACAGATATGCTCTTACTTCTCTCTCTTTCCAAACTTTAGTGCTGTCCTGCCAAGTTAAGTATTCTACACCTCTGAGAGATAGAGAGAAGAGTAATGAATGACTTTTATTGTCTTACCTCAATCTTGCTAGATCTTTATAACATCTCTCATCTTCAGTATTATAGCTATAAAAGAGAGAGAGATGTACATGTACAATAAGTTATTATTATTA